GTGTGTGTGTGTGTGTGTGTGTGTGTGTGTGTGTGTGTGTGTCTTCGGCAGTCCAGAGGAGAATGTCCTCTCCTATTACTTTTTTAAAATGAAATTTATAATAGAGATATTCATAAAAAGAAGGCATTATCTTTTCCTAGGACAAATGGATTTCAAAGAAATCATAGTGAGCTGAGGTCTATAGCAGAGATGTCCTGGGGTTGGGGATGTGGTACAGTGTAGAAAGTTTAAACACACGGCCTCTCTCCTATCACTTCTAAGTCATGCTCTTGGGACAAGGTCTCACTTTACCTGGAGCCAGGCTGTCTAGCAAACCCAAGGATCCTCTGGTTTTCTGCCCCACCCTGCTCTGCTCACAGCACTGAGCTTGCAGGCACGTGCGACCATAGCTTGTCTGTTATGCATGTTTTGTGGATTTGAATTCAGGCCCGCATGCCCGTGCACCAAGTGCCCTTAACTATTGTGCCACCTTCCTAGAGGTGCTATTGTTTTTTAATCTTAAGAAAATATATTTGAGGCAAATTTTGACAATTATTATAAATTTGCATCTTAAAACTTATCTCAGAAGCTGAGAATTTATTCCTAAATCTGTAAAAGCACCTCAACCATTAAGGCATTGCCCATACCATCTGCTGGACTGTATGTTGGGGCTGGAGAGAGAGCACAGCGGTTAAGAACACTGACTATTCTTGCAGAAGCCCAGGTTCGAATCTCAGCACCCACACAGCAGCTAGGGGATCCAGCAGCCTCTTCTGTCCTCCTCGGGCATTGCACGACACAGGTGCGCTTACCTACATGCAGGCAATACACGCGTACATATAAAATAAAAATAATAATTTAAAATAATTTACAAAACCTTATGCTATATAAAGAATGTAGGTAGTAATCTAGTTGGCAGTAAGCAAGCACTTAAGGAGTTTAGCCTCCTTGGTGTGTTCATTTTCACCAGAATTCCATTCCTTGCTTGTTACTGGGTGACAGATGATGCTAGAGATGGAGAGTGTCATGTTCAGTCCCACCCCAGCCTTAGAAGTGGATGAACTCTGAGTTGGTGGGTCAACTGTACTCTGTCATCTTGTGTTTTAGGGTATCTGGGTTATTTTCCATTGGACGTGGAAACTGCAGTGATACCAGCTGCTTATCTTGGGTCTCGTCCTGACTGTCCCTGTCTCCATTAGCTTCCTTGCTTCTGCAGCCTGTGGTGAGGAGGCCCCTGTAGAATTGTCACCTACAGCCTCAGTGCAAATGCTGCCCCAGATTCATCTTGCCATGTTGCCAGCACCTCCTCCGTGTCTCCCCACACAGGAGAGTAGAAATGTGGTAGTGGAGGGAACCTTTCCTTGTCTTAGGGAGTATTTTTTAGGCCCACCTCCCCACACTCATTTTCTGGTTGTTCTGCTGATACCGTGTTTAGGACCCAGCAGCATAGATGATTATAATGATTATAGGACTGATAACTCTGGCCAGAGTCAAACTCTACAGCATCTCTATCCTTGCACTGAAGACACTTTCTAGAGTTACTTTTCTTTATAGCAGACTATTGTACAACTACCTCTTGGTTGGCATCAATCCTGTTGATTAAACCTTGTTTTCTAGCATTAAGCCATTTTTCTATTCCCCAAACTTCAGTTGCTGACTTTCTGGTGCTCAGAAGCAGACCACCTGGGTGTCAGTTCCTGGCACCACTGTCCATGGTGCTAGGCCTTGGCTTCCTGGCTGCAGTGCCGAGGGCTGGCGGCTTGGCCAGCTGCTGGGTCATCACTGTGCTGCCGTGACCACGACAGACAGTGACTTGTGAATGTAATGCAGGCCAGTTAGCATCATGGGCTGCTTAGGGTTCTCTTGACCACTCTGCTCTTGCTACTTCCCAAAACTAAATGCTAACAGCACACAGTTAACCAGAACCCTTACCCATTCTGTAAGCAGTCAGCTGACATTTTCTGTATTATGTCTCTGGACAACTGTAACAAATTACCTTCTGCCAAGGTACACAATTTGCTAGAGAGATGGGATCCCTGATCCTGCAGGGTTGACTTCACAGTATTTTACGCAGATACTGCTGCAACACCAGGAGGTGGCCACAGATTTTGTTTGTGTATTAATTAGCGCAGGATCAGTGTGCACAGTTCCTGCTTCTAGGTTCCTGTCCTGAGTTCTTGCCTGGACTCCCCTCAGTGATGAACCATGACCCAGGAAATGTAAGATAAAATAAACCCTTTACTCCCTAAGGTAGTTTTGGTCAGTATTTTTATCATAGCAATAGAAAATAACTAAGACACAACCTTTTCATAGTTTAATAGTCTCATCTGTTAATTGGGATAATACCAGAATCTGTCTCTAGAAGTTGTTATGAAGCTACAGTAATAGAATGTGATATATAAAGCACTTAGAAAAAGGTTTGTTAAATAAACAGTATTATTCCAGGTCCCTTATAATTGAAAGTTTTCCTAATCTCCAAGATTGATTGGACAGAGCAAAATAGGTAAATGTCTCAGTAGGAATTAAAATGTGATGGTTCAGTTTTCTTTAAAGCTATACATTTATTGGGTCTGGAGAGATGGCTCAGTGGTTAAGAATACTTGCTATTCTTCCAGAGGACCCAGGTTCGATTGTCAGCACCCACATGGCCGGTAACTCCAGTTCCAGGGGATCCAACACCTTCTGGCCTCTGCAAGGATTGCACACGTGTAAAAAATCTAAGGAAATAAATAAAATACTTTTAAAAAATATGTATTTATTAAGCTGGGCCAAATATACAAAATACTGGGTTTAATGATGATGTGTTCATACTTTTCAAGATTAAAACACTGTTGTGTTCAACTCAATAGTGATAGGAGTCAATACCATTGTATTTGGATATGATCTGAAAAGCATGGAATGAATTTCCCATGTACAGAATTTGTCCCTTAGTTTGCAGAACAGAAACCTCATTTTGTTTT